GCCAAGGCAGAACTGGAGGCACACAACTGCCAACAATCACGGCTATTTTCTTGACCAGTAGGGTGGTGGTGGTGGGGAGTGGGTAGATTGAAAGCCTTATTGCTTCAAGCATATGCATGGATTCTGTACTGCTTTGCTTCTCAAAATGCTGCCCAGAACACTAGTTCTTTGAGTTGATGAAAGATCGTCCCAAGGTTCTGTGGTCGTATAAATTCAAAGAACATTTCATGCTCTCTCTGGAGATTCACAATACACAGTAGGACAGTAAAGGCTCTGAGAAGGTCTGGAGTAAGGGAACCTTTCTAACATTATTTACTCTCAGTTTCCCAAACACTTTTAAAAACCTAATAAAACCCTTACTTTCTTCCCTAACCCCTGCAAATAGAAATCCTCCTGTCCAAGGCAATCAAGAGTAAGAGTTGGTTGGTCAATCATAAAAAGTCTGTTAAACCAGAGAATGCTTTAAAAATGACATGCACTATCTAAAAAATTTTAAAATAAAAATTCACAAATATACAAACATTTGTCAATCTTCTAACATGGACTCTAGGCTTTTTCTTTGTATGCACCCACTCATTGGAATTCTGTACCATAAATCATAATACAAGGTGTGTGGTCTACAATTTTGTGTGTGTGTGTGTTTTGGTTGCTTTTTATGGAGATAAATCTTAAAGACCATGAAATAACCCAAACGCCTCATTCTTTGTGTTTTTAAAGAAGTTTTAGGTTGACAGAATAATTGGACAGTTCAGCACCCTCACTCAAAACACACAGCCTCCCTGACTATCAACTTCCCACACCAGTGGGTACAATTGCTGCAACTGATGAACCTACATTGATACATCATTGTCATCCAAAGTCCATAGTGTACATTATGACTCACTCCTGTGAAACTATGGATTTGACAAATGTATAATAGCATGTATCCACTATTATAGTATCATACAGAATAGTTTCATGGCCCGAAAAATCCTCTGTGTTCTGTTTACTCCTTCTTTCCTCTCCCAACTGTTATCGATGACTGAAATTTTTCCTGGCTCCATGATTTTGTCTCTTCTTGAATGTCACATGGTTGGCATCACACAATATGTAGTCTTTTCAAGTTGACTTCTTTCACTTAATAATATGCATTTAAGTTTCCTTCATGTCTTTTCATGATGTGATAACTCATTTCTTTTTACTGTTCAGTAGTATTCCATTGACTGGATGTACCACAATTTATTTCAGTTTAGTTTTTATAGAACAGATCTTTCTTTTTGTACTATTTCATTAGTTTACATAGTAAGTAAATTACTCAAACACAATGACAAGTAAAACTGGCACAAACAGGTTTGGAGCAAACAATGATCAGTGATGCTAGGTAAACATATGCAACCCAAAGGCTATAATTAGTGAGCACCTTGCTGGCTTGTATTACTAAGAAAATGGAAAGATTCAGGTAATCCATGAGTCTGTGGTTGGGAGAACTACTGCATTAACATGTTGAGGAGTTAGTATTCTAGGGCACACTGCTGGGGAAATGCTGACTCAGCCCATGTTCTCCCAGATGTTTTGATTGTGCTTCTTTCAAGAAAAGCATTTTTGTTGATTCACCTTTAACATGTCTTTTTATGTATTCATAACTACCTCCAGTACTACCACTGGCTAATATTGCAAAACATGCTGCACATAGGGTGAGATTCACCAACAGTGAGAGTGAATCTCAATCCACATTCCCAATAGTTTCTTTGACTTAAAAAAATTTTTGTCTGACTCCTTAGATGTGATTAGTCTATCTTTTTAAACCTCATAACATGACTGAAGATAAGCATGAACTAGGATTAAAACTGTCAACTCTATTATTTCTTATTATTCTCTTGTGGACTGCCTCCCCATGGTCACGTTAGGATACCTTACTAAAGAGTGTAACATGGATTTCTTATGTACGGACTTAATCTATTTAGAAATTCTAGTATTTTCTTCCCCCATCCCTAGGCTATATGTCTCTACTCTGGAGACTGCTGGCCTTATAACTGCTCAGAGAAATTGAGAAAGTCAATTAAAATTTACTTCAATGCCAAAATGTCAAAGATGGGGAATGCAGAGCCTCTTTGAATCAGTGGAGCCTATCTCTCTGTTAAGCAAGGCCTGAGGCTGAGTGAGGATGTCTGGGGCTGCTCTTGATTGCTCTCAGGGGGAACACAAACTACCAAGAACTAGGTGTGGCTGTGACATTTTCAGATGCTCTCAGACAAACTGGAAGCTCATTCAGAAGCTGATAAAAAGATTAAGCTCCAGGACAAGGTGGAGAGGAGGGAAGTAAACAGGAGAAATATTTAAGCCTGTGATGTCCCCTGTTCTCAATACTCTCCATTTCCAGCTCCCTCTGGAGAAACCCCTAGCCCCAAGCTAGCCTTGACCACAAAGCGTGGCCACTGCATGAAGAAGCAGGACCTGTTGGAAGCCCCGATTCACTATGGCTGCTTCCTACTGCTGAGATGAGCAATAGGTGAATGAGATATCCAAGGTTTTACCATCTTCTTCCTCTGTGAGACCCAGCCCACAGTGGTCTCAGGAAGACAAAGTCGAAGAATACAAAAGCACCCCTGGTACACAGTGGGGACTCCATCACTTGTACTGGGGGACACTCAGCAGAGGAGGAAATCCAGGCCTCCGCACCAAAGCATGCTGAACAGACCCCAAACAAAACCAGCAATAACAAAACACTCTCACTACTGCTGTTTATTTTAAAAATCTTATGAGTACAGAATCTGAACAAAACTTTAGAATTGGCCAGTATATTCTAGCCAGAGTAAGGTTTGCTAATATCAACCTTACCACCATTAAAAATAACTCAACCCCTCCCCTTTGCCTGACTCCCACCAGCTCCTTACTGAAGGCCCTTGACAAGCACAGCTGATGAGCGCCCTGCACAAGGCAACACACAGCTCAGCCGCAAGGCAAAGACACTTCCTCCCCTGGGCCCCCACCTGGCCATCTCATACGAACCACGGCCCTAAATCACACAGATGGCTGCACCTGCTGTATGCTTGTGGATTTTCTCCAAGGACTCAGAAGGAAGCTACCTAGATGCAGCAAACACAGCATAAACACCAGAGGCTTTGTGCCTGTGAAATGCTCTGTAACTGGAGCTCAATCACACCTGGCTCTCTGGTGACACTCAGAGATACTCAGTTGGCGGGGCTTCCCCTCTTGCCACACAGCCTTTCCCCAAAGTCCTGCTTGCAGAATTCAGTTACTCGAAGCGCTGATAAAACCACAGGGTCTTAGTGAGGACAGAGGTTATTAATTAACATTACAATGTCTGTGGACCTTGTCTCAAAAGGAAACCCTAATTAATTTTGTCGGTCAGACAATTCTCCTTAGCTCAAAGATCGGGGATTTTCCTACAGAATTAGTAAGAGTTAGGAACAAACACTGTAGTTCAGAGAAGACCAGTCACACAATCTATGGTGCCCCATGAAAAATACAAATTCAGGCTTGTTCAAAACACAGGCAAAAGGTACCATTAAAGGTACTAAAATATAAAATATTTTCCTTTCTTCTGTGGTCTCTCTTTTGACCTGTCAGGGTGTTTTTGTTTTAATGTTGAACTCCCAGGCTTGGGGATGCTGGCAGGGCAAGTGCAACCTTCATAGCCATCAGGGCCCCTACCCTGTGATGGGGGGCATGAATACACATGGTCTACCAGCTACTGGACTGAGGCTTCATGCCCTAGCCAGGGGCAAAGAAGTTGAGCCAGGTATCTCCTCTTCCCACTGGCCCATTGCTCCTATCCACCACGGATGGGCAACCCCAAGGGTACTGCATCCTCTGCCCTGGGTTAGTCTAGGTACACAGGGATGGGCAGCAAGCTCACTTTCACTAAGTTGCCCATCAAACACACCACAGTGTTGTCAGGCTGGAGTCCCTGAGATGCTGCCAGGTACACATGCCCCACACATGCCCTCACCACGCTCAGGCCCCCACTGGTGTGGGGAGTGGCAACAACTGAATGGGGATGGTGAGGGGGAGGTTAGTGATGCCTGGGGTGGCAGAGAGCAGAGGACTGGGCAGAGAGAACTCCTCCTGGCAAGGTGGGGAGGCAGCAGGAGGTGGGACTGTGAGCCTAGGCACCAAGCCTTTGGTGCTTACTCCATTGGTTCACTGGACACCACTGACAGATTACAAATTCTAGGTTAAAATAAACAGTGTCAAGATGGCACCAGTAGAGCGTGGTGCCACCACTCCCCATGTGGCCCTGTGGGAGTCCTGTGAGAGTGCATGGGTCACTTGCCCACGAAGTCCTCCTGACTTTGGACCTCAGATGAAAGGAAACAATTTTGATTGCCTTCCCACCCCAAGTTCGTGTATTTCTAAGACAGATATGTATTTCCTCCATTTCAACTTTATTCTTTATTTCAGTTAGGAGTTAATCAGAAGAGACTGAAGTTTACAGATGTTCTCTATTTAAAAGCCCTCTAAGTGAAGAATACATATTCTTCAAAACATGAAAAGTACTCCTTTCTGAGCACAGGTAACTATATTCAATAGTTAGTAACAAATTACAGTGGAAAATAATCTGATAAAGAAGATACATAACTGAATCACCAGATACTGATACAACATTGTAAATCAACTATACTTCAATGAAAATTTTTAAAAAGTACTTATTTGAACTCCCCTGGTGGCCCAGTGGCGAAGAATCCGCCTGCCAGTGTGGGAGACACGGGTTTGATCCCTCGTCCAAGACGACCCCACATACTGTGGAGCAACTGAGCCCGTGAACCACAGCCACTGAGCTCTCTCTCTGGAGCCCACAAGCCGAAGCCACGAGAGCTCCTGCAGCAATGAAGACCCAGGGAAGCCAAAAATAACATAAATAAATAACTTTTAGATACTATTTTCTGGGCATTGCAGTGCTTTTGTTTTTCCATGAACATGGATAGATACATGGATTGCTTTTATCATTAGGAAAAATAATTAAAATGTTATTTTCTAAAGTAATAAACATACTTTACCTGTAGGGAGAGTATGCTGCTCCTTGGACTTTTCTGATACAACCAGTGTTATCTCTTTGTTAACTTTCCTTATTACCTCCTGGATCATATGAATTTCGAGAATTTCCACAAGTTTCTGAAGCTAGAGTAAGCAGTTTGAGAGTCACTCTTCACTATTAGCTTATACTCCAGGCTCCTAAATTCTTACATGAGGGCCTTGGGCTGGGTCCTGTCCTTTAGCTACTCTCTACTGAGGAAGAAGAAAGGATTCTTTTTTTGACGTTCCCAAGTGGGGTAAAGGCATCTTTTTGGCGACAAATATCTCTTCTTCCTGGCTCATATCTCAAAGGGTTGATAAAATACAACCCTTTTTTTTACCAGGTTCTGCTAAATTGCAAAGTGCTCAGTGTCTGAAGTGACCTCTTATGTTTTGGAGTCTCTAAATATGGCCAGGAATTTCATGACCTGTTTTATAAAAAGCGAGAGTGTCTGAAACTCAATTTAGATACCACGGAGGATTTCACAAGAAGATATTAATCCATACACGACCAAGAGAAAACTCTGATCTAATACCCATGAGCCCTTACTTTACCCTTTATGCTTACAAAGCCCATGTTTCTCCCTGGTGCTAGAGAGGAAGCAGAGTTCAAAAGGGTAAGCAATGGTCACGAGACTGGGGTGTATGTGGAGAAGGGGCAGTGCTGAGTTCTCCTGGATGCTTAGCGGACATGCATCTCTGTACTTACACCCATGTAACTAGAGTCTTTGTTCCCTGTTACAATAAGCTCAGCCAGGGACAGCCTGTGTCCCAGGACCAAAGGGAACAAGCACTTGGAAAAACAACCCCTCCACACACCATCAACACACACCATCAACACACACCAAATAGACTAGTACATAAATTGTGTTGTCTTATTCTCAGAAAAACAATCGTGGAAGCTATTTTAAATATTCTATTTCTGTGAGCATGTGTTGGGGTGAGAGGATACTTTTCTCCTGAACTTTATGTTTAAGATGCTAGTGGTTATGTTTCCTGTTGTCTTTTGTGGTGGTGCACTTTAATTTGAGGAAAATAAGAATATGAAAACCTTGAATTACAGAACTAAGACATTAAGGTTAGCTATTTGCTTAATTAAAGCCCCACATACCTTTAAACACTTAAACAGCCTTAGAGTCTGTTCAACAATTTACAAACCCTCAATTTACACTTAACTTCTAGAAGAAAAACACCACTTGGGTATAGCCATAGTTTTACATGCTAATGCCATAAAGCAGATTTTCAAGCCAAGTTCAAAATAGCTTCTACATACCTGTTGAGTTTTTATTTCAATTTCTGAAGCTCCTTTGGGGGGAAGAATACACTGACTAGTTATTAAAATTTCTTCAAATTCATCTTCTTTCCCCATCTGCCTAGCTATAGCTTTCATGCTGGGGTAGAGAATATCAGTTCTATTAAAGAAGAGCAACAGAAATTAGCAAACAAACATTTTTTTTCTCTTTTAGATTTTCTGACAATTCTTTTCATTCATGTTCTGTTTCCTGTCATCATGCATAAACCTCCCAACTTGTCATAGACACTCACATCAACATCTAAATTCACCATAGTTGCCACTCCCTTAGTCAATATGTTGTGTGTTTTCTATGCCTTTTCACTCAAGCAGCATATTATCAACACTGACTTTTTCTTTCTTAGATAGTTTTTAAAAACCCAATTTTCTTAAGAAAGAAAGGGATTAAAATGTTTTTTTTCCCTAAATCTTTCTTGAAGGTCAGGGGCTTTATCTATGAAAAAGTAGTAAATAGTTATTTGTGACCCACATGAAACAGCAGCCAGCCTTAAAATAGTCCTTTCCAGCCAAGGATTAGAATAATGGGTCCTAGTGTTGGGCTGCTCTTAGTTTCTCTTATTCAAACTTACTAGATGGTAGAGTTCACTAACTTGTTACATGTTACTACTTGGTGTACTGATATTGTACTGATAATCACTGAAAAGTAAAGACTGTTGCATTCCCTCGTAAAAAAAAAATATTAAATACCAAGGCCTTTTCTCACTGGCACATTTAATTTCTTTGTTCTTCAAAATATTGACATGCCTTCTCATTCTCTATTTACCAGGAAAGCTGATTATCATAACTCATAAGATAGACAATTTGGATTAGGCCACCAAAGTGGGCCTTAGGGTCCTCAGTGAGGTCCAGCGTGGCGGGTGGGTGCTTAGTGAATGCTTGTTCAGTAACAGACACGTGGCAGAAGCCACCTGTCTTTCCTGCCAGCTAAGGCATCCCAGCCAGCTCTTGAAGCTGAAAAAACAACATGGACCACAGACTGAACACCTCATGCTGCACCATGCTGTGCCCTGGCTGTGATGCTGAAGCTCTCAGAGACTCATTAGACCTCAGTCCAACGTGGCAGAGTGGGCAGCAGGTCACAGCAGCAGCACTCCCTACTCAATACTCACTGGGATCCTATAAGCTAAAACGCTTAGTCAGTACCAAAGGGACACTTCACGAGCACCCGTTTCCAGGGCCAGAACTCTGGGTCAATGACATTCAGTGTTGCTCAGTGGAATCCAGTGCGATGCCTGCAGCCTACAGAACTCAGCTTTTCCTGGAAAGCACTGTTGGTAGAGACACGCTGCCCAGTTTCCTTGGTGATCAGTGGGGCTAGGCACACCAGATTCAAGGACCAAATGTAATGTCACCCTCAGAGCAAGGGCAGTAATCTGCCAGAGCCCAGGTTCCACTCCCCCACATGAACTTCCCCCGAGCCACACTCACCCATAGAGCTCCGAGAACTGCTTGTGGAGGCAGGGAGAGTTGACGTCCTGGACTTGGAGCTTGAGTCGGCCCCAGTGCTCCTTTAGCACTTCCAGTTGCTTCCACAGCACCAGAAATGATCTCAGCAGAGCAAGGGCCATCACAGCATCACACGGGCCCCCCAGCAGCCTGGAGGCCCTTGGGCTGCTTTGGAACTGACTTCTGAGTCCTGGCACTCTGGACAAATCTGGCTGAAAGCATCACAGAAATTCTTCCTCATTCACCATAGACCACTACAAGATCACCTTCTACATGCAGCTCACGCACAGTGAAGACTTGGGAGAACGACTCTTCATCCCCGGAGGAATGGTTTACAGGCCAATAAGGATAAGCATCCTTCCTGAACACAGGTGGTATTCAGAAAGGAGAGAAATGTCTCCATTTCAAATTTCTGCTTGAGTCATGAACCACTGACTTTTAAAACTCTTTTACTTGGGTGCTCACATTTTTATCTGCCTTTGAAAAATTGAGCCTTTTATGTTTAGTCTCTGCATTTTGAAAAGCACTCTTTAACACACTCAAGATTTAACAGCCCGTCATGGTAGAGCTATATTATAATCTTAAATTGAAGATTTTATCCATTTTATGGGTAAGGAAATGGAAACTTAGGTTTATCTTATCTCCTATTCCTCCTCCCGTCCTCTAAAATTTAGGCAGGGAATATGTCACTTGATTTGAATTTATGATTCAATAGGCAATTTTACTGGAGAAGGCAATGGCATGCCACTCTAGCACTCTTGCCTGGAAAATCCCATGGACGGAGGAGCCTGGTAGGCTACAGTCCATGGGGTCGCAAAGAGTCAGACACGACTGAGCGACTTCACTTTCACTTTTCACTTTCATGCACTGGAGAAGGAAATGGCAACCCACTCCAGTGTTCTTGCCTGGAGAATCCCAGGGATGGGAGCCTGGTGGGCTGCCGTCTATGGGGTCACACAGAGTTGGACACAACTGACTTAGCAGCAGCAGGCAATTTTACTTTAAAATCATGATTTGTTCATTCGTTCATTGGTGTTTCCTTAAACAAGGGTTGGTTGAGGGGCTGCTGTGAGCCTTGGAGGATGTGGAGGGAACAAGGTTTTCAGGTCCCTGATCTCCTTTACACCAGCGATACAAAGGCCAGGGCCACCCAGAGAATGACAGACAGAATGGGGACCTGTATCTCACCCATGGCCTGAAGATAGTATCTCAGTTATAGGGAAAGGAGCTTTCCTTTGCAGACTCGGACCAGAGGACATTCAGGTAACAGCACCTTGGACGCTCAAGTTTCCTGGCCATGAACAGGAAGAACCACCACCGGGGTGTAACTGGACCCTAGATCATAACATATGGGATGGGGTGGAGGTGGGGCTGCCAGAAAGAGAGTTGGTCAGAAGAAGAACTGACAGGCAAGTCCCAGGGGAGAGTGAACTCCTGCCAATATCTGGCAAGCCCTCCACCTAGTAGTCTACCTCCTCAACAATCAGCTGATTCATGCACTTCTGGATTTATTTTATCCTCAGAAACTTATAGCAAATGAAATCTTACTCAGTGACCCAAGATATCCAACAGACCAAAGCCAAGCACTGTGACAGGAGCAGGCAGCCTACAGGCCACAGAGCTGGACCCCTCCACTCAAAAAGCCCCAAGCTCTTGCCACCATTTTAAAAGCCCTGAGCTGAGACTTCCTTGGTGGCCCAGGGTGAAGAAACTGGCCTGCAGCACAGGGAATGCTGGTTCTATCCCTGGTCAGGGAACTAAGATACCATGTGCTGTGGAGCAACAAAAACCTGTGTACCACACTAGAATCCGTGTGCTGCAATGAAAGATTCCACATGACACAGCAAAGATCACATGAACCCAACGCAGTCAAATAAATAAATATTTTAAAAAATAAAATAAAGGCCCTGAGCTAATCCATCCCCTTTACTTGGGAGTCTTAGAGATGGAAGTCTAAAAGGTCACAGAACTGGTGACACAGCTGGGACAGGAAACCTAGAGTCCTAGGTCATAGGCAGTATAAATTTCAGTGCTGCCCATTGTCTATGAACATTGAAATGCTATTAAATAGAAACAATCATAAAATAAAACTAATTAACAATCATCTTAAAGCAAACTTACCTCCTATTAAGAGAAGTCATCTCTTCCTAAGCTTTGCAGAATGGGTGAAGGAACAGGAGAAGGATAAAGACAAGGCAGAGGAGACTAGGAGGTCAGGGAAAGATGATAATCCATCAGAAACAGGGCCAAAAGAGGGAAAATAGAAGGACCAGAGAGCCTAGCACGCTTCTTGCTCTTGGTATTACTTGGTCTATATCCAGTTTTGTAAATGCTCCTTCTAGGAGAAGCACTGAATCCTGTTATGGAATTCAGATGGCACTCTAAGCACACTTCCTTTTCCACTAATTGGCCTGATAAGTACCCGTGACTCGGTTTTAGCCAGTGAGAAACAAGAAAAGTCTACTGGAAGTTGTCTGGAAAAGATTTCCCTCCTTGACAAAAAGACAAAGCCCCTTAAGGGGAAAGCTTTTTCACTCCCGTCTTCATCTTAAAAGGATGAGGGAGACATTCTGCTGACACACCCAGATGGCACAGGTGCCTCCACCAATGTGAACTGCCTCCTTTAGACTCGCTTTGAAAGATTAACACACTTTGTAGTTTAAGTCATGACTAGTTACTTACAGCAGGTGCACCCTTACTGGCACAGAGGGGCATTGGCCCAAAGGTGGAAGATCAGATAAAGCTTCTAAAAGAGTGTTTAGAAGCGGAAATCTGAACGACAAATAGGAGTTAATCAGATGAAGAAGCAGAGAGTGGGAAGAGAGGGAAGTTTTCCACCAGGGAGGCTGGTTTGCATGAAGGTACCGAGGAGAAAGCATGGTGCGTTTGACAAAATGAAAGAAGCTGAATATGAGGGAGTTCCAGGGCCAGACTGTTAGGCTGGAACCTGGGTTTCTTTTCTCTCTTGGCAAGTGACTTTAGGCATACCATTTAACCTTTGTGAGTTGGTATTCCTATCTATATAATGAGAATATTGATAGTACCTCCCTCATGGGATTATTGTGAGAATTAAAGAAATTAATAAAGCACTCTGAATAGATCTCAATCATAGACATTATAAATTAATAATGTTCTATTAATAGTGTTCAGGGCCAACTTATTGACTAGACACCGAAATGCTTAGGGCCCACAAAATATTTTAATTTCTTTTAAAATCAGAAAAAAAAATGCTTAGGTTGAATAAAATGCTACAATTTATGATATTAATATATTTTTCTTTATGTTAACACAATTATAAGCTATAACTTCATGTTTTTTAATGGAGAAATGAATCCTCAAAGGCAAAAGTGGTAGTCATGGAGGCCAAAATGCAGCCCTGGCAGTGGTAGAACTGGGCCGGAACCCAATAAATAACATTTTCAGGATTAGCAGAGGTAGGGGAGTTGACCGAGCAGTCTGAGAAGGCCTGGCCCATGAAGTCAGAGGAAGACTGGAGACAGCTGCGCTTTAGAAGCTAAGGGCAGACAGTTTCAAATGCCGCTAAGGCACCAGGTTGGAAGGGGACTGAAACATACCTATGGGATTCATGGCAAGGTCCATGGTACTCTTGATGAGAGCAGTCTCAGTGGTGAGATGAGAAAGAAGGCAGAGTGCAGTTTTTAAGGAGTGAATGGAAGGTAAGGACATGGAGATGGCTGGTGCAGTTTGGCTCTGAAAAGGGGGCTGTTTAAATGGGGCGGTGGCTAGTTTGCCCTGTGTCCACACAAGTATCTGTCTGGTTCCAGATATATGCAGAATTATTTCAAGCCATAATACTAGGGGGACCACAGGCTCCTGGTACCTCCTAGCTTCAGAGGGACAAGTCTGGAGAAGGGAGTGCTTGCCCTAGGGGTCCAGGAGCTAGCTGAGTGATGACGACAGGAGCCAGGCTGGAGCTGCTCACCTGGAGCCTCTATCATACCCTTCCAACTCCAGTCCTAAATGTGTGACTCACAAGGAAAAATAGCCAGTTGGAGTATTTGTTCACACTGGTTTCAATGGACCAACCCCCCCACCCCCGCCAATGTCTGCTGTACTTTTAAAATTAAAAGAAATTGATATACCATTGATCATGGGATTTACTGTGAAAGAAAGCACTTTGGAGAGAGTCTGACTGGCTACTGCTGCGTCGGTGCTGCTCCCGTGTGGCATTAGGACAGTCCTGGGGCACTAGGAGAGTTTATGGGACAGATGAAGCTCTCTAGTCCATCTCCCAGATAGAAAAATCCTTCAGTACAACACACCACCGGTCAAGTGTGTGTTACTTGACCCGTTCACCAAGAATACCTGTGTATTTTTGTCTGGTGTGGCTTGCTGTCCTGGGAGACCCTCCACGATCATATGATAGTTACTCAGAAGAACATCTTCCATTAGCAGTTGCATGCCTGCCAGCTCTCCATGAGCCACCTTGAGGTCATGGCCACTCAGTCCACAGAGGCATAGCTAAAAAAAAAAGAACAAAACCAAACCAAACACCCATTTTGAATACTTCTATGTATCCTTTACGTGTCCTGGGGGGAGAAACTAGGAGTAGTTGTGTTTACAAGCCCCTTGCTCTCAATTATTTAAAAAATCCATAAAAATCAGAGTAACACTTTTAGTTCAAAATCCGCCTTGAACATATTAGACATTTGGCTCTGTATGGAAGTCCAAGTTCCCCACACGTTATGGTGGTGTCTGTATGTGGTTGTATGAACAGTGTGATACACGTATGCACAGGGAGAACACAGGAGAAAAACCAATATGATCTGTAACCATACCTCAAAGTGAGGGACTCTGATTAATATTTTTAAACCATTTTTACTATTTTACTTTAAAAAAAGTTTACTTTTGGAAAATTTTGAGCATATGCAAAGGCAAGCAGAACAGTTCCCATCACTCAGTCCCCAAAACCACCAACCTATGGCCAGTTCTGCCTCATCCTCATCACTCCCCACCTCCACATTATTTTGAAGCAAATGTATCATTGATTTTCATGTTGTTGATAATACTTTTAAAAGTATTTTCTATTTTAAAAAATGAAAATACAGTAACACTTGCTTAAACAATCAGAGGGAAACATACAATTGAAAGAAATTCTCCTTCTGAGTCCTGCTTAAGGAGTTTTCTTCCTACCACTGTAGGTGGGTCACGAGTCACACATCTCTGAACTGCTAGTCTGGGAGTTACTCTGAGAGGCCCAGAGAGTGACCAGAAATGGATGACCACTCCCCAAGATCATTATTAGCCAGGAGAATTTCAACTGATTCAAGTCTGATTCCAGCTGCAAACATGATTTTTTTCTGTCATAAGAACACATGATTCACCCTGCAGCACTGGATTTATAGCTTCATAATAAAACACCTTGCTTATCTCATATTAATAAATTATTCACCACTGGCTAGAGTATGAAGGATTGGACCTATTGGATGCAGTGACATCTGCTTTGCAGTCTGTATTCAGTTCTCTCTGTGACAAGTAGGAAGAACCATCTTACCTGCATGTGATATTCTAGGGTATCTGGGCTGCTACTTGTAACTGGAAATGGTCCTCCATCTTCCAGAAATGCTCTCCAAGGGAACAGCACAAATGACTAAAAGAATCAAATAATAAATATAATAATGCTGCATAATAATGTCCACAAGTAATATGCATTTGTATATGAACAAGATGTCTTCCATCCGTACACTAAAACACTATGGGATTACTTCTCTATTATATAGAAATAGTTCTTGATGAATAGTCTCTGATGATGCAGAGGAGAGAGTAATAATCTTGTTTTTTAAACTGATTTTTCAGAAAGTAACTAAACATAGAAGGGTACTTAAGGTTTCAGTGTAAATAGTCAGCACTAGTGTTTGGAAGTCCCAGAATAGTATAAAACCAATGATACACATTTATAATCAACAAAAGTAAATTTACTCAATTTTTTTCAGTATTACAAACCTTAAATATTTGTCCTTTATCACCACTGTGCTCCAGTTCTAGGCAACAACTCAAAACCAGTGCTGTGACATTACGCATGGGCCTCCATCTTTTCCACATCACTGTTCAACAGCCAAGGCATCCCTACTCCCTGCGGCATGACATGCAGCCCAGGATAGAGTGGGCTTGTCCATCTGATCCGATTCTACAGTTTCAGACCCGGTACTGGCTTCAGACAATTCTCAAAGTTGGAGTTGCAGGTGGCAGGCAGCCAGGACACCTGAAACTACTTAATGCCAGGCAATGCCCAAAGGCAACAGGAGCAGGCCCAGTAGTCACAATCCAACCCTGTCTTCAGGTCTTCATGAGGGTCAAGGCTTGGGCCAAGAGTCATTGTCTTATAGCTAGGGAAGGTAGAAGTGTTAGACTTACATGGGGTTGATGCTGGAATTACTTGCCTTAGCTTTGTAACATAAAAACATTAAGTTGGAGGTTTTGGAGTCAAAAGATATGGGCTTGTGAGGTGATTTTAAAGATATGTCCACAGGGACTTCCCTGGAGGTCCAGTGGTTATGACTCTGAGTTTCCACTGCAGGGGGCATGGGTTTGATCCCTGGTTAGAGGACTAAGATCCTGAATGCCATGAAGCGTGGCAAAAAAAAAAAAAAAAATGTGTGCATAAATTCTTTGATTCTGTTTCCACTAAGAGGTGGAGCACCTTGACCTTGACCACAGCCCCATGAGAGATTGTGAGCTGGAACTAGCCCAGCTAAACTGTGCCTAGACTCCTGAGCCTCAGAAACTATATGAGATAATGAATGTCTATTGTGTTAATATGCTATAGTGAAAGTGAAGTCGCTCATCGTGTCTGACTCTTTGCGAGCCCATGGACTGACTATAGCCTACCAGGCTCCTCTGTCCATGGGGTTTTCCAGGCAAGAATACTGGAGTGGGTTGCCATTTCCTTCTCCAGGAGATCTTCCCCACCCAGGGATTGAACCTGGGTCTCCCACATTGTAGGCAGACGCTTTACGGTCTGAGCCGCCAAGGATAATATGCTATGTTTGGGGGTAATTTGCTCTGAAGCCATAAAAAGTTAATACAGTTTGTGACCTAGTGTTGCCAGGACTGCATAGCAGTCTGATCTCTGGCCTTCCTGAACTTCAAACTCTTTAGTTGTAGCACGTGGGTAATAGAGTTGGTGCCTAGGAGCAATAATAGTTGCCAGGATTACATTTGATAACACATACTGTTGTCGGGCTGTTCAAAACTCAGCTGCTGACCTAATATATGTATCATAATTGCTATCATTATTATTTATTACATGAAAGAGATCAGGTGTTGGTTTTGCTACCAGCTGTGAGCAGATAAGCTGTTATCCCAATTAGCCTGTTAAGCGGTTTGGAGACAGAGCTCCTGACTAGAAATAACAGCAAGCCACAGGGGCCCTCTCTACTGTATGAGTGAAGGGGAGCTTACCAAGGCCAACGGGTATTTTGACAGGAAAAGCCTCCTATGCACAGTACACATTAAATTACAAAATGTGCTCTCAACACATCTCAGTACAAAAATAGCTCTCAACATACCTGGAGGCTCTGTGGATCCAGTGGTTGTGGTAGGCTGAGCTGCGAAGCAAAAATGCTCTTCATTGGAGAGTTGCTCAGTGGTGGCAACCCATGGTACATGCCGTCTGTGACAGACTGGTAGGCAGAAGCATTTCCAGCTGCCAAAAACCTTCGTCTAAGGCTTGTCCATCTGATCCGATTCTACAGTTTCAGACCCGGTACTGGCTTCAGACAATTCTCAAAGTTGGAGTTGCAGGTGGCAGGCAGCCAGGACACCTGAAACTACTTAATGCCAGGCAATGCCCAAAGGCAACAGGAGCAGGCCCAGTAGTCACAATCCAACCCTGTCTTCAGGTCTTCATGAGGGTCAAGGCTTGGGCCAAGAGTCATTGTCTTATAGCTAGGGAAGGTAGAAGTGTTAGACTTACATGGGGTTGATGCTGGAATTACTTGCCTTAGCTTTGTAACATAAAAACATTAAGTTGGAGGTTTTGGAGTCAAAAGATATGGGCTTGTGAGGTGATTTTAAAGATATGTCCACAGGGACTTCCCTGGAGGTCCAGTGGTTATGACTCTGAGTTTCCACTGCAGGGGGCATGGGTTTGATCCCTGGTTAGAGGACTAAGATCCTGAATGCCATGAAGCGTGGCAAAAAAAAAAAAAAAAATGTGTGCATAAATTCTTTGATTCTGTTTCCACTAAGAGGTGGAGCACCTTGACCTTGACCACAGCCCCATGAGAGATTGTGAGCTGGAACTAACCCAGCTAAACTGTGCCTAGACTCCTGAGCCTCAGAAACTATATGAGATAATGAATGTCTATTGTGTTAATATGCTATAGTGAAAGTGAAGTCGCTCATCGTGTCTGACTCTTTGCGAGCCCATGGACTGACTATAGCCTACCAGGCTCCTCTGTCCATGGGGTTTTCCAGGCAAGAATACTGGAGTGGGTTGCCATTTCCTTCTCCAGGAGATCTTCCCCACCCAGGGATTGAACCTGGGTCTCCCACATTGTAGGCAGACGCTTTACGGTCTGAGCCGCCAAGGATAATATGCTATGTTTGGGAGTAATTTGCTCTGAAGCCATAAAAAGTTAATACAGTTTGTGACCTAGTGTTGCCAGGACTGCATAGCAGTCTGATCTCTGGCCTTCCTGAACTTCAAACTCTTTAGTTGTAGCACGTGGGTAATAGAGTTGGTGCCTAGGAGCAATAATAGTTGCCAGGATTACATTTGATAACACATACTGTTGTCGGGCTGTTCAAAACTCAGCTGCTGACCTAATATATGTATCATAATTGCTATCATTATTATTTATTACATGAAAGAGATCAGGTGTTGGTTTTGCTACCAGCTGTGAGCAGATAAGCTGTTATCCCAATTAGCCTGTTAAGCGGTTTGGAGACAGAGCTCCTGACTAGAAATAACAGCAAGCCACAGGGGCCCTCTCTACTGTATGAGTGAAGGGGAGCTTACCAAGGCCAACGGGTATTTTGACAGGAAAAGCCTCCTATGCACAGTACACATTAAATTACAAAATGTGCTCTCAACACATCTCAGTACAAAAATAGCTCTCAACATACCTGGAGGCTCTGTGGATCCAGTGGTTGTGGTAGGCTGAGCTGCGAAGCAAAAATGCTCTTCATTGGAGAGTTGCTCAGTGGTGGCAACCCATGGTACATGCCGTCTGTGACAGACTGGTAGGCAGAAGCATTTCCAGCTGCCAAAAACCTTCGTCTATCAAAACAGGAAAGCAATCTCATTAAAAGCAGTTACTCACGTTTCTAAAGCTCAAAACTCTCTTCAAGGCTATTTGTGGCAAGATAACATTTTGAGATATAAGCAGGTTTCTTCTTTGGTGACATCATCCCTCATTCATTTTTCTTTACCACTGCCCTTCACTCTCCAATTCACAGCTCTCAGGGGAAAGATAATTATTCTCTAGACAAGCGCTGTCTAACAGGATAAGTTGAGGGGATCCAAAAGGTCCCCAGGAAAAAAGGGATCTTTTGCCTAAACCTTCCATAGACTTGGATCAAGTCATGCATAGAGACATCAAAAAAGAGATTAGCAATGACTGAGGGAGATGTTATCACCAACGTGAGTGAGGCAGTCTCTCAGACATTAGCAGATAATCAAGTGTTGAGGAAAGACCTGGGGAGTGCCTAAGACCCCACAAGGCAGTGTCCAAGTGGGGAGCTGAGCAGGAGGCCAACCAGAAGAGATCTGGGGTTGAATAGAGATGGGTGAGGTACCACTCCTCATCAACTGCTAGGATGACTTATAAGCACCCCAGAACTTAGATCACCTCTGAGAAGCATAAAGGAGGAGTAGGTGTGGTATAAGGCTTAAGTTATGGTCCATTATTAGCGCTGCCTTGACATCTGGTAAAACTGGGAGGGCCTTGAATGACCTAACTACAAGTTTCCCTCCTCATGGAGGGAAGGTCCCCTAGTCAAACATAGGGACCTATGTTTATTTACCTTCCTTATCACAGGGACCAAGTGTAATTCCTGCTTATCCATCCACAAGCAGTGGTTTCCAGTTCCCTGCCAGACCACAAAATCATTCGAATGAACCAAGCACATCCTCCTATGGGAACCAATAGGCACCACATCCTCTTGATACTCAAAGCCTGCCTCTCAAGCCCCTAGCTGTTCACTCTGTTCACAAGTACAAATCTTTTGTGGCCTTACATGGCATGTAATGTTCTGTTCCCCTTGGCCACGAATATATGTAACTAGTAAACTGCTGTTGATCTCATCTGTCCCATATTTAAAGTTATGTGTTTGGTCATCCCCATAACCTTGGGGCAGAATCTTTCCCTCACCAACAAGGTGAAAAGGAGGCATTTAAAACAAAGGTAAAGAGGGATGATTTTGAAGTAATTGATTTTATATTTGAAATTCACCACTTTAAATTCTAAATATGGCTGAATGACATGGAATTGAAAAAAGAAGTAGGGGCTTATGAACTTAAGTTCAAAGACAGATAAAGGGAGCTCTATATTTGCATATCAAACCATTGTACTAGTACAAAAGTCATATCACCCTTTTCACATCTTTGTGAGAATTAACAAAAGATAGTTGCATACAGTTATATACTGAGACACTGAATAAAAACTCTGATTTATCCTGATAGCTCAAGGATGGAACTTGGAGTTGCTCATGCTCAATGGATATAACCATTGTCTCCTGTTTCTCATATTGTTCACATGCTTTCTCATGATTCTCAATGGGCCCTGCCAAGGGACCCATGATTCACTCAACACTCATGTGACAGTGATGTATCAAGCATCTACTATGTACAGTATACTATGTCAGGAACTGAGATACAAAGATGCTGCTGCTGCTGCTAAGTCGCTTCAGTCATGTCTGACTCTGTGCAACCCCATAGACGGCAGCCCACCAGGCTCCCCCGTCCCTGGGATTCTCCAGGCAAGAACACTGGAGTGGGTTGCCATTTCCTTCTCCAATGCAGGAAAGTGAAAGTTAAGTCGCTCAGTCGTGTCTGACTCTTAGGGACCCCATGGACTGCAGCCTACCAGGCTCCTCCATCCATGGGATTCTCCAGGCAAGAATACTGGAGTGGGTTGCCATTTCCTTACTGCAGACAAAAAATATTGCCTGCCGTACCAGTTAATAAAGAATGCTGCCTGCCACCAAGCCATCAGCAAATGCAGCTGCCTTCCAATGGTGCACTCTGAGGGGAATTCAGGATAGAAAAAAACAGGAGACTGGATCTAGATAAGACACATAGCTAAGAAACAATTTTAATGAGTCCAGATTCTTAAATCTTCCCACACATAGAAAAGCACTAAAATCACTAATTGTGATATCTGTCTTTTGTGATTAGCAGTAATCCTTCGATGTTTGATCACATGAGTTTTTCTTGTTGCTGTTGTTCGGCCCAAACTCCTCTATATCCTAGCTCCTCCCTTACTTCTTCAGATTAGATTCTTAGCTATCTGACAAATTGTCTCCAGGGCTATAGTCTTCAGTAAGGCTCCAGAATAAAATATTTACAACCTCTAAGCTGTGCCTTTTTCTTTAGTCAGTGGTGCTAAAAAGCAGAGTACTTTAATGGAAACATTTCTTTTCAGTCCAGAATCAGAGCACAGAAGCCCAATATCCCAATAAACCTCTCCCTCCTGACTCCTTCAATGTCCCTCCTGTGCATCTCTCCTACCAATCCACACAATTATCTCTCTCTCTCAGCCTCTGGGCCCAACTTTGTTCACATCTTATTGTTTAATCCTTGACTGTATTGCTCATATTTTAAAATTCCTTTTTTGTTTATTATGATGTGAGCCTGCCATCTATGGGGTCGCACAGAGTTGGACACAACTGACATGACTTAGCAGCAGCAACATCTTTAAAAAAAAACAAAACACAAAAACCCTGCTGGCTGGGGAGAGATTGTTCCTTCCTCTGTAGCCAGTTCTTAAAGACAACTGAAGGCCTAGCATGCTTTTGATACCCAAACAAACCAGTCTGAGCCACACCTCCTCTGATCCCTGCAACCCAGGAGGCAATATTCCTCTCATTTAATCATCCTAGGGCTAATTAACAGGCAACTAGAGACTAACACAGGCTTGTCTGGCGGCTCAGACAGTAAAGAAACTGCTACAATATGGGAGACCTGGGTATGATCCCTGGGTTAGGGAGATTCCCCTGGAGGAGGGCATGGCAACCCATTCCAGTATTCTTGCCTGGAGAATTCCAAGGACAGAGGAGCCTGGCAGGCTATAGTCCATGGGGTCACAAAGAGTTGGACATGACTGAGCAATTAAGAATAGAACAGAGACCAACAAACAATACACCCCAAAGCCTGCTGGAATTATTCAAACTAGCAGATCTTAAAATGTTCCCCTGCTCTGCCTTGCCTTTCCAGGCCATGGCCTAAGCACTCTCTTTGCTCCTGACCCATGGCCCTGTGCGACGTGGCATGATGGATGTGTCTAGGAACTGAATATAATTTTATTTCCCCGAGTCTCTCCTGTATCTCCTCCTGTGATTGCACTAGATTGATTATCACATAAAAGAACACAGAACAATGACTTGTTCTTTTATCTTGCTAAGTTCGTGCAGTTTTTAACTAAGGGCCACGAACAACCACAATTCTTGGGAGAGTTTTAGAGCCCCAAACATATACTAGGTCTATTAATTTATACATACTTGGAGACTATTTAAGAATAACACAGTTCAGATGTAAATATGACTGCTACTCTAAGTGACAGAATCATAGCATATGATACATTGTCTAGAGAGACCAGAATCAGTCAGAGTCTAGGCATAACCACTGATCAAATCATTGGTTATCCCATTCCCACTTTCTTAATTCTTCAGTCAAGATCACTGTCCTTGGTAGGTCCCACCGCCCCTTTCTCAATAGAACTGTTTATTAGGAAGCTGAACAAAATAATGCCATGTAAAGAAAGGAGTTTCAAGATGATACCTAACATTTTTAGCACTATATCCTCTTTTATTTCCTTCCTCTCCATGGACCCCATATTTTGAAAGTTTCTTTTTTTTTTTTAACCAAATTAAGCATTCTCCTGTTTTTAACTCAAAGCCACATAAGCACCTAGCCTAAGCTCTGAGCTGCAGGAAGAGATAAAGAAATATGATATAAAGGAAAGAACAGGGCCTTGGAGTCTGACAAACTGTGTTAATATAAGGTCTGCTACAACAAGCATGTGACCCTGGGGCAATCATGAGACTTTCCTCTGTTCCCTCATCTGTAAAGATGGTGATGTAACTGCTATCTCACAGAGTTGGCACATGGTAGGAGTTCAACCAAAGCAAGTTTCCTCTCCTCCTTTTCTTACTCATTCTTATGATTCCAGAGTTTATAAAAGAAAGAAATGTGACATTTTCTTTACTGCAAAACTTTTGGACAAATATGTCTTTTCCATCATGCCTTTAGAAATACTGAAAACAACTTATTGTGACAGCTCACTCAGGCCCTCAGTTGGTAAACCCTGGCCTGAACCTCCGCCGGGGGAACCCCAAACAAGGCAACCTGCCAACAACAACCAAAAAAAGGGGAAAACCATAGGAATGAAAGGTAAATTTGCTGCTTGTGCCAGTGGTACACCTGCCAACTGCCAGCTCCTAATAAAGTCAGGTCTTCCCAGCAGCCCACTAAAATACAAATACAGATGCCTCACATTCTCCGAATGGTTTTGCCACACTCCAGTTGCCTTACTGTCAACAAGCAGTCCAGGGTTTCCTAGAATGCCAGTCATCTTGTGTGTGAGTTACCCACAGTGTGATCCCAGGTAAACTGTCTCTAGACATAGGGAGCAGGGAATTCATGGAGCACGTGCTAGGTTTTTTCCTGGATGCAGGAGATATAAAAGAAAACAAAACCCAAAAAACAGCTGCAAAGTAGTCCTGAGGAGGCCAGGAAAAAGCTGTGGCTCTTCACTTCTCAGACGCTGGAGCCCAGGACAGCAGGAGGGCTTCTCTGTATCTCTCAGAAATCCCCAGATAACTCTGAAGCACACGTTAATATCTGTGTGTTCAGAGACACTTAAACTAGATGAGCATAAAAACAAACTGAAAAATGAAGAGAAAACCAACACAAATTCAAAGACTAAAAAAAATGGTGTTGCTTCTTCAGAGATTCCCTGATGTACTCCTAAATAAGGCTGATGGCAGGAAGTTAAGGCACCTTTGATTTATTTCCTCAAACTCCTCCTTTTTACAGTAATCACTCTGAGCATCAATAACACATTCAGTGGCACTTTTCAAGGCATATGTTTTATTCCTATAGAGTTCCTCTGAGGAACTTTTTTTTTCTTCTTCCTCTCCATTCTTGAATTTCAAAGGAATTCAATCCTTTAAATCAGGGAGTGGCAAACTCTTTCTTAAAGGGTTGGATAGTAAGTATTCTCAGCTTCATGAAGCGCATGATCTCCACTGTAACTATTCAACTCTGTGGTTGTAATGTGAGAGCGCCAGAGGTTATCCATAAATGAATAGGCAGGGCTGTGTTCCCAAAAAAACCCTCCATTTCTGGACACTGAAACTTGAATTCCTCAGAATTTTCATGTGTCACAAAATACTACTCTTGAATTCCCCCCGCCTCAACCACGTAAACACCAGCCTTAGCCCGCAGGCCTTACAAAATCAAGCAGAGGCCTATGATTCCTAACTTAAACAGATAATATTGATTAAAATCACTGTACCACATAAGCATTTACCTTTGGCACAAATTAATTCACCTGAAATTAAACATAAACTCAATTCTCAGGCATTTCTTGCATTGGCTAATAAATAACTCTTACAGATGGTGGACACGCCCAGAAGGTGAATGGCAGGCCTTAGGCAATGTGATTCTGACACCATTAGAGGACACACCAATTTGCACCAGGTTCTTGCCTGAGCTTGGCCACAGAGGGAGAAACTTTAGTGCTTAGAAACATGTATCTTTCTGGCAACCTAAGCTGGTCTGTGCCACAGTGAAGCAGGTGCCAGGTAAAGAGGACTCCATGGGGCCACTGTCTTGAGCTATATCCTGCCTCTCCTCTCCTGGTCTATGGAAGTATACTGCTTTCATTGCAGGTGAGAGTTCTTTCTTTTCAAACTCTGGAGATGGCTTCAGGTTACATAAGAAAAAAGTTTCCTGGAATAAAAGTCATATTTACCCAGAGTTGGTGAGCTCTGGGAAGAGCAAGGGAACTTCCTCAAGCTTTCTGTCTCTTTTGGTTATCTAAGGACTAAGGACTTATTGCTAGCAGGTTCAGCATAAAATATTAATAAATTCCTCAAGTAGAATGACATTGATCTTTCACTTCTCTTTTTCTCCTGCCTCCTGTCTTCTCTTGAGAGTTTCCCTTTCCATCCATCCTGTTGCTGTCTGGCATCCATCCTAGTTCTCAGGCTTTGGAGTCAAATGCACCTAGGTTCTAATCCTGGTCTGCAGCTTACTAGCTGTGTGACTGCAAACAGACACATAAACTAAAGGGCTCTGAAGAAAAAAAGGGCTGGGGGAAATGCTGTAAATGAAGGACTCCTGGTTCCTTCTGAGGTCCTCTGAAAAATATACTGACTATACAATACTGAAACCAGACAAAGGACACATGACCCTCCATTCCTGCAGACTGAGTATGCCAGGGCAGAGAAAGCTCCCAAAAGCAATTCCTAGGGGAAGCAGAGCGATTTCCCTGGGAGAACAGAAGCAAGATGAACTCCGTGGAGCTGGAATTCAAAAATAATTTCTGGGGTATAGTCCTATTTCTTCAATCTATGTAAATTCCTTGTAAATTCTGACTTAAGATTCAGAGCCCATAGGGCTAATGAATGGCCATCCTGACAATTAGTCAGATCCTTTATATCCTACCTGCTTGACAAAGCTATAGCTCCCAAAGCAATCTGTCAATAAAAAAACCAAACAAACAAAAAAACAAATAGCCTGATTTTTTTGTCCTGCTGAATTTGCATTCTAAATCCAGAGTCCTCTGATGCTCAGAGTAAAGAAAAAGCAGAGTAGAAAGAGCAAACATTAGGTTAAGTAAAAACTCCACATTTCCATTCTCTGTGGACACTCATGCCAAACGGTTGGAAATGATTCTAATCCACAGATAAAAGTACTGCCCTCCAAGATCCTCCTCAGTTCCCCTAAATACTCACACTGGGAATTTATCAAATGAAGTCAATTTTGACAATTTAAGAATAAGCAGGGACTCTCAGGTCTAACCTCTTCCCTTCCCATGTACAACTTATTATTTATACAGGAAACATTGTGATTCTTAATTCAAACTAGTTTTTTCATCAATCATGACTCATAAAACCAAACAAACATTCTTATTGATGCAGAGTATTTAATGCCTACAAGGCCAGAGGTAAATTATTTCTAAATTTAACTCAGGTAGTCAATTTTGTTGGTTTCAGATGTGCAGTGAAAATTCTGTTCTTCTGCAAGGTAATTAAGTGCTAAAAAAAAAAAACTTGGTAGGAAGAATAATCTTCAGCAGTATAAAAAATTTGATTCCTCATGAAACAGTCTGTTATGCAAACTAACTACATTGGAATCACATTTAACAAAATCAAGAATATTATTATCTAACAAGAACACAGTCCACCTGGACAGCCTTCGCAGCAGAACACATTTGGTAGCCGCAGTGCTCTGGATCAGGTTGTGCCCTTGACTATTTTAAACTCATTATCTAATCATGCCAAGAGTGGCCTCCCTCCATGGATGAGCACTCAGGAACACCTGCCCCACAGAATTTACTAGACAGGAATAGCCCTCCAGCCCTTACCGGATGAGGTACCTCACTGCAGCGTCAAACTGAAGAAGCATAACCTCCCTTTGGAGCAGAAGGACCTGAGATACCAGAGTGGGGTCTTGGGGGCTCTGGAGGCTGTCAATCATTTTCTGCAGCTCTTGAAGTTCAGATCCTAGAAAACAGATGACATTTTAAGTCAAACAGATTGAAATACAGTCTACCCCAGCTACCCTGTGAACCATCATTTCACCTCCAAAGCTAACTTTTTACCTAAATCGACTTCTGTTTGTTTGTGAGTATACTAATTAAATATTTTGCAAGATCAGCAAAGCCTTATGTTCTAGAACCCAAGGCCTGATTTATCTTTTCTTCCTTCCTTCCTTCTTCCCTCCCTCAGGAATATAGTAACTTGCATTGCTTTTCAGCAGAATAAGAACATACTGCTGAAAGTAAGTTTCAAAGTATACAAGGCTATAGACTCTAAATAGATTGAAAAAGAGGAATTATAAGGAATGGGAAAGGTATAGGTCTCAGTAAATCTATTAGGGGCTTGAAATTATTATAAACAAGTGGTCATTTCTTACAGCCCTACCATTCAAATCAACTCTGGCATAGACTCATCCTGTCAATGGCTCGTGGATTAAGAAGACTCAGGACCATCCAAGGAGGCAAAAATATGTATACATATATGTATACACAAACATACATCCTTCTAGGAGATTCACGTCATTTCAGGAGTAGATGTGAGAGATCCTCAATAGGCTTATTTCTTGGACCCTTATCCTAAAGGATTTATATGTGTTTTGGATGGAAATTCAAGCTAGGGGCCTTTTGCAGTATTCAATACTGGTTTGAGGAACCTGGCCTGGGTCTAGATGGCTGTACTAGCATCTCTATTATCTCAGGAAATGAGCCACTCGGAATGGGAAAGCACAGAAAAAAAAATCATGTTCCTTAGGGAACATTGGTGGGGTGGGTGGGTGGGCCCTATTTCCAAGTCTACAGAATGTTGGCTGATGTGAAATGCTCATCAGCTCCCTGCGGAGACAGCAATAGTTTTCTACTTGAGAGGACATCCCTGCTATGCGAAGAGAAGAATTGTGGAAACTGGCCACCATCCCTGATTGCAGCCCAAGGCAGAAGTGAGATGGGAAACCTATGAAGCATTTCCAAAGTTAAACTGTATAAACAGCTCACCCAGACTTGAGCAGCCTTGTACCCTAACTGGCCTGGTACTGGAACTCTTTCTATGTTTCCGGCATGGAAGGCAGGGGACTGAGAAAAGGGAGGCTGTCCATGAGAACCTGATCAGGGCAGAACCAGGTCTGAGAATGGTTGCCAATATTACTTGCAATATGGGCTCTTGACTTTAGAAAAGGATGAGCAGTCCAGATTTCATAACCATTTGATGTTTTACACATAACAGAAGAATGTTTGGGGGATATTTTTCCAACCACAAAAGAATTGGGGTCAATCAGTAGACTTTTTATGAATCCTTTATAAATCTGATGGTCATATCGGGCTGAAAAGAAACTTCCACCAGAAGAGGAGTCACAGGAAATTGTACAAGAACTCAAAGAATTTTGTGGTGGATAGGAGGAGGGGTAGTTGGTGAGCCTTATTTGTTCAAGGTCTAGTGTGCTTGGTCTACAAGCAATACACTCTGTCAGGCTATGCAGTAACCAGGAGAAAAAGTTTATAATCCCCTGCAATGACAATGAAAAAAGAATATAAAGTTGCACATACCCTGTGATTAAAGCTCTGTAAACTGTATTTTACAGTTCAAGGTCAGGAGGGGTGACCTCGTACAAGGTAAGGAGCAGCGGCTGCGCTTTGCTGGAGCAGCCGTGAAGAGATACCCCACATCCAAGGTAAGAGAAACCCAAGTAAGACGGTCGCTGTTGTGAGAGGGCATCAGAGGGCAGACACACTAAAACCATAATCACAGAAAACGAGCCAATCTGATCACAGGACCACAGCCGTGTCTAACTCAATGAAACTAAGCCATGCCATGTGGGGCCACCCAAGATGGACGGGTCATGGTGGAGAGGTTGGACAGAATGTGGTCCACTGGAGAAGGGAATGGTAAACCACTTCAGTATTCTTGCCTTGAGAACCCCACGAACAGTATGAAAAGGAAAAATGATAGGATACTGAAAGAGGAACTCCCCAGGTCAGTAGGTGCCCAATATGCTACTGGTGATGAGTGGAGAAATAACTCCAGATAGAATGAAGAGATGGAACCAAAGCAAAAACAACACCCAGTTGTGTATGTGACTGGTGATAGAAGCAAGGCCCGATACTGTAAAGAGCAATATTGCATAGGAACCTAGAATGCTAGGTCCATGAATCAAGGCAAATTGGAAGTGGTCAAACAGGAGATGGCAAGAGTAAATGTTGACATTTTAGGAATCAGTGAACTAAAATGGACTGGAATGGGTGAATTTAACTCAGATGACCATTATACCTACTACTGTGGGCAGGAATCCCTTAGAAGAAATGGAGTAGCCATCATGGTCAACAAGAGAGTCTGAAATGCAGTACTTGGATGCAATCTCAAAAATGACAGAATGATCTCTGTTC